GTGTGTGTTGTGAAGGAAGGGGGTGGGGGAGGCAAAAATAGTCGACGTGAATGACCGCCGGTCAGTTCTATAAACCACGAGCCGCCACTGCACATTACACGTGCATATAGCTAGGCTTAGGGCTAGATCGAAGTCTGCAGCACACTGCAGCCCTCTCTCTCTTCACCCGCTGCGTGTGCTTGCAGTGGCGTGGCTTTCATGGGCTTGCTCCATCACTGCATTTCTCTCTCTCTCTCTCTCTCTCTCACTTTCTACACATTGTTAATGAGCCTTTGTCCCTGCTATAACCGATTTGGCTTCGACGAGGCCCTGTTACTGCAGATAACTTTTAATAGAGACAAAGAGTAGGAAAAAACAGGGATTTAAAAAATCTATGTTATTTCCGGATCCCTGTTATTACCGGGCCTGTTATACATGGTTCACTGTAGTAGGAATGTAACATTGTAAACTTAGATTCAAAATTTACCATTATATAGATATTCATTACTTGCTGAGTAGTTTGTTGTCTTCTTCGAGACATTGACGTCCAATTATGTGAGCAAACTCTAAAGTGATGGCGGAAGTCGATTGAGCGTGATATAGGCCTTTTGCATTTTGATGCAACAGAATGTCTGACATTTGAGTTAGGCATATATCGTTTTCACGCCACTAATTCACTATTTTGCTTTGTTTGGAAACATTATTTTATATTTAATTCAAACGTTGAAAGTGGTCATGGTGATGCGCGTGAACACAAAGAATGCAAAAGGCCTAACTCTGAGTGAGGCCCTTTGCTTATGAGCGTGATGATGTACATGTATTACAATGTAACTTGTGGTACTGGTAGGTGGAAGAAAACATAAAGGCCCATAATTGTTGGCATGTTTTTCTTGTGTGAAAGAAATCAATTTAATGAACAGTGAAAGAAAAAGTGCAAACGCCCCAATCTTTATTTGAGAGTGGAGTCCCTCATCAGGCGTGAACCACATCCATCATTACTGCTGGTTTATATTTGTATGGGATCGGAACACAGAGTTAAACTTTGTACTTTTTTGCATATTTTGATAATTAGATCTATTTAATAATAGATCCAGATCTTGATACCCCTATTATAATTCATTTGTCAGTTAGTTTTTTATCCCCCAATCAGTAATCATGTATAATGATATAATAATAAATAGCATTTGTATAGCGCATATCCCCGCTCAACAGCAGGCTCTATGCGCTTTACACTACATTATTATGTATGTAATGTTTCTGCTCCCAGATTATAATCAACATGACCACTAATTTTTTGGAACTACCGTAAGCTTTTGCCATGGAAAAAATAACAAGAAGAAAACTTCACAGGTTGAGATTTGAACCTGAACGTGGTACTATTCTTCTTTCTGTTTTGGAAAACCATTGGGTTTGGTGATGAAGGAGGACTCGAGTAGAAGGAAAAATTGCACTTTTGCCTTCATGAGCCTTGCTCCCTCAAAGAACGCCAATTCTGTTATTACTAACGGAGAACCCGGCTTTGCTCGGGGTCGACGCTTTGGTGTCACTGCTCCTACTGGTCTACGACGCGGAGGCATTTTACATTACATTGCTGTCTAGCCTTTCACAGTCACACCTGACTTCTAGATCTATAATGCTTTAGATTAAGTCTGCCTTGATTAACTCCTCTCTTGATCTAATCGCTTTAGTGTATTGCTGTCTAGCCCTTCACAATCACAAAGTACGGGTTTCGCCTTACACCATCACAAAAAAGCACTAAGAAAATAATAATCCACGAAAGGGCTGCTACCCTGTAAAAGGAACACACCGACGTCTTCAAAATCATAGAGGCAGTGTCAATAGATTGTTCACTTTCCTCTGACAGCGTTAAATTTTTTTAGCTCATTGACAAATTTACCAATGCCCACGAAACTTTGCATGGCACTTCTACTTCTCTACAGGCTAGCGACCAAACAAAAATATTTTTTCCAAAAATCTTGACCTAGTAATTAAAGTTTTTCTCTTTGGGCCCTATATTAAAACAACTCTTTGGATGCATACATAGGATCATGTCTCCACATACTACAGGTGAGTCTCGAAAGGTAGCCTACTCACCCCATCTCTTGAACCGTGTTTCTTTGGCGAACGTTAAAGAGCGGTAATGAACTTCCGTTGTCACGTTGTGAAGGAAAGCAATGTAGATTTGTTTCGTTTCTCAGTAGAATAATCACAAAGGCCAAAGAAGGTGTCTTAATTCAGGAAATGAATAAATTAAAAATCGAGCTCCGTCGTGGGGACCTACGGTATCTTTTTGCAGGTACTTGCCAACTTTCAACTCTGTAGCTGTCGTAGTTTTATGGAAAAATGACACATGTGTTTGCAAGTTGCCGAATATATTATAATAGATGCAGATAAATAGTGTGTATCTCAACTTCTGAAGTATTATTACGGCACTTGCAAAACAAGTCTTAAAATAGCTGAAGATTTAGAGAGTAAAAAACATAAAAAAAGGAGGGGAGATTAGAACGATAAGTGTTGATAAGAAAGAAAGAAGGAATAAACCACACCAGAGCAGCCGTCAACAACTCACTTCCAACTTCTTTGTGAGATGCAAACACTGTGTTAAGAGTTACAAACATAGAAAATGTACAAAGAAAAGAAAAGAAAAAGAATTTGGCTTTCATGTCATAAGACACTAATTTATTATCACAAAAGCTTCTTCACTGTTCATCCATGTTGCAAACTGAATGCAGTGAGCTACACAGTTGGAAAGGAATGTAAACATCATGTATTAATAATTTTGGCCTTTGCCTTTATCATAAAGTTGGAGATCAACTATTTAACCTATCCAGCCTCTTCCAATGGATAAATGTATTTTAGGGAAACAAAACAATTCAAACATTTTTTTGGCAGACATGGGACTGGGACAGAATTCACAGCTGACACATCGTGCATAACAACACATACCTGAAGGCTATTACTTGCAGACTGTTAATAGTAATATTTATAGAAAGAAATGTACTTGGAACCTGTCATGAGCAATTTATTAACTTTGAAAAAACCCCCCAGTAATTTATATGAAGGTTCAAGTTCAACTAATACAACGAAACCCCAATTTAAAAAAAAACCTGTTTGAAAATTTCGACAAACTCTTATTAAAATTCAAGTGTTTTTTACACTCCCATTAGCACAATTATGTCATTCAGTCATTCAGGAGGCGGGCTTCTGACCCTGCCTGTTATGCCCAACCGGGTTGAGATCACAGCAGAAAGACCGATAATACCCCGGCAGTACTCGATAAAAATTCTCACTTGGGAATCGAATTCGGGTCTCCTGGTTATACTGCAACAGCTCTTAACTGCTACACCACAGATGCCAGTCTGATAAAAAACATCATTGTATGTGGTCAATAAAATGGAAATGGGGTTCTGATATAGGTAAATAAATAATTTTATTATTATTCACAGATCATGTTTATATATAAAATCATCATAATTTGTTTGACCAGACAGATAATTTTGAGTTGGTTATACATTTGCCCAGCTTGATCTTTTGCACTTTTATTTTTTTACCACATTTTTCTTGTCAAATAAGTATGGTCACAAACAATGTACGGTAGTGCAACAAAATTGTAAAACAATTGCTACAGCAGCAAAAATCAAAACTCAAAATTTTCTTTTAAATAGTTCCCTTTAGATTTTCATTTTACTATTTAGGAAAGAAAAAAACTACTTATAGTCATAGACTCAATGTATAATAAAGTAGAGTAAGGTTGTACATGCACATGTATTACTATATGCTCCTTGGAGAATAGTGTCAGAGTTTCGTTGATAATATAAGAAACAAGAAACAGACTGTGGTCCCCCCCCCAAAATCAGTTTATGGAACTTTAAAAAAAGTGAATTGTTTACAGTGTTATCTTAACCATCTCTATGATGATTAAACTACATTTTCACAAAATATAAAAGGCACTATGTGAATTTGTTATAGCTGCCATTTCCATCTTTCTATTTCATCATTTTAATTATGTTGAACAAAGATGTTTCGTGGCAAGTTGTGCACTTAAGTTATTTTGACAGAGTAAACCTAAGTTTTAAAGCTAAATTTTTGACAGATGAGTGTATAGATCCATCCCATCCTAGACTAGTCAACGGAAAAAGAAAGTTAATTACATTTTCAATTTCAAGGATGTGTAAAAAAAAAAGAAAGACAGTCTACTGATCTTACTATTATCAGTATCATGCCATCAATTATGATGACTGCCAAAACATTACTTTTGTATCCTTCACACGATCAGTACTGATAAAAGAAAACAACACATACTGAGTTTGAATACTCTGTACTTGTAAACACACATGGGCCGCATGCATTTTAAGTTTAATGTTAACACTCACAGTTCATTAGTCAAATCTATCGAAGCCATGTACATGCACCTCAAAGTCAAACACTCAAAAGGGATGAAAGAGGCTCTACCTCAAAACAAAATGTACAAAAATCATAGAATAACATGTTACAATAAAGGTAATTAATAATAAATTATAAAAATGAGACAGATATCACTTTAATTTAAATTAACGTGGAACATCTACACAAAGATTCCACCACATGTCAGTACATGTAGAACATGTATTCATACTGCCCTATAGATCAGAGGGTCATATTTTACACATTACATGTAATGTACGTGTATATATTATTAACATGTAAATACACACACCATGTATGTATGTATCATAATGTATGTGTATGTGTGTGCACGCAGGCAACTAGTCTACTACTTAGCACTAAAAGCAAGTACATGTATCAATACATAGTTCACTTGGAAAGGGTTTAATACTTGGAAGTGTTTGACAAGATCTACTTTTCCTCCTTAGTTAACAAACTGGTAAATAAACAGAATGCTTTTAACAGCAAATAGCCCTTTGACAAAAGTTTCTTGTTTTCCATAAAATTGTAAAAAGTCAAAGAAACATACACTTTCAATGCAGGTATAGACTATATTACTGGTTAATGTGTGATTTTGAGTGATATGAGAATCAGAGACCAACATAATAAAGAGTATCACCGAAGCATTTTTTTTCTCAGGAAAAATAAAATCCTTTGTTATAAGGTCACTTTTCAGCACAGGGGGGCTATCCCCAAAAATGCTATTTTGAGAAAATCGAAGGTAAAGTTTTTGGACCCTTATTCAGTTTCTTTAAAAGACAAGGAGCATTTTCTCTATAACCAAATAAATATACACATCAATGAAACCAAACTTCTATAGGTAGGGCAATGCCCACTTTTGGTGTAGGTCAAGATTTTTGGAAATCCCTGAAATCTGGGTTAGCCCCTTTGTCCTTAAAAGTGACCATATAGGTAATGAAAAACAGTCTCTATTTGAAGTTGAAAAAGAAAATTCTTTAAAACATCAAGATATTCATCAATAACAATATTTTATAAAAACCAAAAATGGCAGATTTGTTATCAATACATATAGAACTATTTTGGGATCATGGTAATCCAAGAAATAAAATGAAATGGAAATTGACACTTTATTTTATCTACATTGAGCACTTCACTGTGTCATAGCCATTTTATCTTTCATGCTACGCTGATGAACAAACACAGACAACTGGGTTGTAGATTATAGCACATCAGGTTGTATGTCATCAAAGAAAAATGAAACATTATTTTAGAACTAAAAGAAGGCCAACATGTAATAACAATGGCACTAAACCATTACATTTTTTATATCACAAAGAAAGTTCTAGTATATTTTTGAGTAAAATCCTTCAGCTGTATAGTAATCAATAAATAAGCATCACAATATAAGGGTATCAAATACAACAAAAGAAACAAAAAGCCTGGTGTTTTACGAGTCCAAAATGATGAGTACTACAGACATCATGTATAGTATAACTTAAGCATTCAATGAAATGTCAAACCTGTAGCGGGGGATGGGCTCTGTCAAATATGATGTAATAGTAATAATGTCTGGACCTCAATGCATAGAATTTTGTATTATAGCACTGTTTAGAGAACATGTGTATTGAGATTCCCCTTGTTTTTAAGGCTAACATCTATGTTAATAGGCTATTATTCCCTCGTTTGGAATTTTACAGAATAAAAGATACCTATAAGCAATTTTTCCTTTTATCTTTGATATGTTATGCTATGCACAATCCTGGAAATACTAAAAATTCTTGTTAAACAAAAAAGTCATGAATGTTAATACAATAAGAGGTAAAACCAAAACAATTGAAATAGGTAGAAAAAGTAACTAACTGCTGGTTTACTAAGAAAAGAAATGAGATGAGGGGGCGAGTTTTATGAAATAAAATAAATCATGGTTGTAATTCTGGGCAGTGATGCTTGGCATGCCCAAGCTTGGATGTACTCGTAAAGGCAGTGTTTATGCAATCATCATCTCCTGAATTGCTGCTCTTCTTGAATTAACAACATTATATGTTATAAGTCTCCCAGTGTCACTCTTGAAACAACTAATCAAGGTAAGAAAAGCAAAATGTTAAAATCTGCTAAAGGGTTTGGGTTAGTCTTTTAGAGCCAAGATACGATTTAAAAAAATATAATATATAAATACCTAGCTCTATACCTAGTACTCGTTAGCCATTCAGTGTGCCATAATTTTTTTTTAATTTTGGGAAAACTCTTGCCCTCCCCTGAGGAAAAGGGAGCCATTCTTTTATCTCTTAATTGAGTATTGTATTAGTGTCAGTAAAATAAAGAACTTTACCCTTTCAACACGTCTCCAGTGATCACAAAAGTTCACAATAGTAATGAGATCAACATGAAAACTTTTTCGCATCTTTGTTGGGTTCTAGAAAAAAATAATCTCGATCTATACACCAGTGGATCATTGGTGAAAATTTCATCATGCACATTCTGCGTATTCACCTAAAATATAGCAAATTCTTTGACGTAAACCTTGAATCTATATCCCTGCTTCCAAGACTGGTTCTGTCTTTGGCTGAAAACAATCGATCTCTGACTTCATCTCTCCTCAAGAGGTCACGGGTATATGTTTCCTCTCTCCCTGTGTACAGGCCTGTATAAGCATTCAGCGTCAAGCCTGAGTATGGTGATGATCTCTGTCGAAGGTTTTCCTTCCCATTCAAGTAGTCGTGGAATGTGACATGCTTTTTCGGCGACTCTGGATCTCTACCTTTGGATAAGCAAGAGTGGGGGGAGCCGAAGCTGCAGTCTTCTGAAGGAGAAACGAGAAAAACAAAAGGCCTTTGATAAGATGAGCAGGGAGTTGGTCTACATGAACATACAAATACAGTAGAGTCCACGTATGACTTTTGAGAATTACATGTCAGCACCTGTTTCTTTGAAATAACCCCTACGCCCAAACAGTTCTGAGGAAAATTTGTAAAATTGCATGAAAATAAATTTCATATATTGCTATGAAATAATGGTTATGTCATGCCAAAAAAAAAAGCAAAAAGAAGACAAACCTAAAAAAAAAAAAGCAGCCCTGGCCACTTAGTGGCAAAACCCCCTTTTACTTGATGAAAGTTAGTGAACTATAACATGTCATGTACATTAAATTCCTAAACAGAAATGTCAGGGATTCCTGATTTTAAAACCCCAACAAAAACAGTTTATTCTATAATCCTAAAATATCTCTGAATACCGAGCATTAATTAATAGGCATGACACACACACACATATATATATATAATATCTTCAATGTACATAAATTAATGACTATGAAGTCTCAAAAGATCTGTGATCATAAATTATCGTGATAAATAGTCTACGAGTCAAGACTTTTTGCGTTAGAGGGGTACAACTGAGCTGTGAAAAAATGAATGAGTTGAAGGGTGAAAGCAGTATCCATGCACTGTGTGAGTACTTAAACAGAAATTATGAGACTCAAACAAAAAAACAGAAATTATGAGACTCAAACAAAAAAACAGAAAATCTGCATTTCAATGCAAAAAAACGTACTTTTGACATTAAAATAATACACACCAATGAAACCAAACTTTTCCTACAGGTAGGGCATTTTTTGTGTAGGTCAAGATTTCTGGAAACCCCCGAAATCTGGGTTAGCCCGCTTGTCTTTAAAAGCGACCATATATACCCTTTAGCAACAAGTCAAATTGAAGGCATGGCATGTGAAAGAAAAAAAAAAAAAAAGGAAAAAGTGATATGTAATTGAAATACATGTGTCACTATTATATGCAACAAAAGCTGTTCATAACACACAGTATTTTTGTTATTTCAAAAGGGTAGTCATGAATTGTGGAAGTGATCACATACCAGTTGTGGCAAGAATGAAAGTCAAACTAAAGAAACTAAAGAAGAACAAAAAACCCACCAAAATTACAGCTAGACCTTCTGTGCACTGATAAAAAAATGAAGACGAAATATTATGCTGTTGAGGCAAACAGCAAGTTTGAGGAACTTGAACTTCTAGATTAACAAATGAAGAAGAAAAATGGCAAAAAATGAGGGAAAGTCTTCAAAAAGCAACCGATCCACACGTACCTGTCACCAAATGGAAAGAGCACAAAAAATGGATAACTCCAGAGATGCTCGATCTTATGGAGGAAAGAAGAAAAGACAAAAATGTTGAAAAGAAATACTAAGCAATGGACCAACAAGTGAAAAAGAAATGTAATGAAGCCAAAGGCCTAGCAATCCTGAGAAACCTTTATTGGGAACAACAGATAGCAATCAAGGTTGACAAAGAGCTCAGTGAATACAGATCAATCCTCAGAGGAGTATGACAAGGATGTGTCCTGTCTCCAGATCTTTTTCATTTATACAGCGAAATGATACTGTTTAACATCAGCAATTTAAAAGGAGTCAAGGTAGGCGACCACAATATTAACAACCAGCGGTGCGCAGATGATACAGTCTTGATAGCTGACTCTTTGTTTGTTTTGTTTTTGTAAGTGTTTTACGGCGCTCGCAACTGCATAAGGTCATATGAGCGCGCGGGACACATTACATTTTTTCAGTTGGTAGGAAATTTTGAATTTTGCCCGGGTGGCGGCTGAAGCCTACTTTTATCGATTTTAGACCACCAAGGGATCTTTAACGTGCGCAACTTGCACACGGGCCCTCCGAGATTTTTCGCCCTTCTCCGAGAAGGCTAGGTGTAGATCTTTCCTACCAGAAGATCAGGGGTGTGGCTGAAAGACAGCAGTAAGAAGAAGCCAAGGAGTAGCAGTAGAAAGGCTGTAGAAAGAATCAGGAGCCCAGAGGAGGGTGGCAAAGGAGATGAGGGAGTGGGGGCAGAAAGAGGAAACGAAAGCAGACGACAGAACATTGCTAGCAGGACATGAGGTAAAAGGAGACAAATTTAGAGAAGAAAATTTTTCAGTCACTACCTGGATTCGAACCCGGGACCTTTGAATGAGAGGCAAACACCTTAACTTCTAGGCCACGAGAGCCCCCTTAGCTGACTGAGTCTAAGCTCCAAGAGATTCTGAGAGACAGAGACAAGTGAAGAAAAGGGCCTACCACTGAACGCCTAGAAAATGGAATGCATGGTGATATATATAAAAAAGTGCTGGTGTCCCAGTATAGAACAGCACATGTAAGAAAAAACAAACAAACAAGTCAACAGCTTGGTTGCACAAATACACCAGATGCAAAAAGCAAAACAAAGATAAAAAAGAAGATTGCAATATCTATAGAAACTTTCAGCAAGATGGAACCTACCCTCTCAAATAGAAACATAATGGTGAACACAAAAATAAGAACCTTGAAAGCGTATCATGTATGGTAAGTTCATTTGTACGGAGGCGAAAGCTGGACTCTAAACAAAGACACAGAGAGAAGACTGGAGGCTGCTGAAATGAGGTAGGCTATCTAAAAGGAGAATACTCAAAATCTCATGGACAGAGAGGAAAACAAACAGAGAGGTGCTCCAAATGGTAGGATGTGAAATATCCATTATAATCAGAACCATCAGAAGGACAATTCTTTGGCCACGTATGTCAAATGGACTAGAAAAACTGCTGCGGTGTCAAAAGAAAAACAGAGGACGACAAAGAACAACATACACAGATGGCCCGAGCAACTTTGCAATGAATAACATAAAGAGAAAAACCGAGATGATTATCAAACAGACAATAGGAAGGAATGGAGTACCATGATTGTCAATTATTGCTCCTGACCTGACACCCGAAGAAGAAGAGAAAGTCATGAATTGAGTATATTTTGACTTCAGATCAGCCACTTTGGAGGTGGAACTTCATTTTTCAAATATTTCTCTCTAATAACTCACACACAGGAGGAGGTAAAAGAAAGGGCAGAAAGTTGAAAGAAAAAGCCATACAAATCCACAACCTCTTACACTTATGTGAAGAGAGCAGTTTTCAAACAAGGATAGATTTGATATGCTGGTTTATTTTACCATTACACACCCCTCCTGGGGTGTTTCAGATGAATTGAACATAGCTGGTAAAAAAATATTTGATTTTAATTTTAAAACAATTAGAACTATGGTTTATAGCATTTTGACCTGCTATTCTCTTTTGAGACAAGTGCTTTTATTCCCTACCATTAAGATGGGAAACTGTCCGGCCTTTGAATTCAATTCTTTGAAAAAAAAATCTTTTGGCACTTTTTCTTCAAATCCATACTCTTTTCACTTAAATTGCCACAATAAGACCAGCAGTATTGTATAGTATGGAACTAACGTACACATTTAACAACTAAAACCTCTCTTTAACATGGTTAAGTTTTTAAAGAAGCAAGAACTGAAGGGGCTCTACTGTGACATCCCAGTCTTTTTTTTTTTTTAAACAAAAAATAAAGAGTCATATCCACAATTTAAAAAGTGTTTTCATGTACTGAGCAGTTGTAACATCAGTGAGACCAATATCCTGAAGGTGAAAGATATATATACATGTATTTAATTTGCCAACACTCAAAGGTGAAATTTGTCCACCTTATGCATGTACATGACAAAGCACTGTACTGTACTGTGTGGATTACAATGGTGTTGGATGTAATAAATCAAAATAAAAATCAAAGCATGCCACAACACAAACAAAAAGGTGCATAATGCAACATACGCAGAGCAATGAACACATAGAAATCAAACAAAACAATTGTGAGGCAACAGCATTTGATGAATTCTATACGAACAATTACATTGTTAATGTTTCACGTCCTCATCTTAACAAGTTAGATCATTTAGAAGCTGGGCTCTTTCACTCTGCATGGCAGGTCCCACCCACGCTAAATGGAAAACAGCATATCAGAAGACAGATGGAGTTACTAAAACAAAAAACTTTCCAATGTAGGAATCAAACTTACATCTTCATGGTGCTGTGACGAAGAACTTAACCTCCGACCCCGGTTGAGATTTTATAGGCATGTGAAAGGACTACAATGTGAAAAAAAGAAAGTTCAGTTTTCGCAGCTATGACAGTCCACAAAGAAGCCACATTACCACAGGCCCAAAGTCGACCTTTTGGGAGAATACTGATAGGCTACCTTGTAATTCATTGTTAATTACAAAAATTTTTGTCCAGCATGATTATTAGTTTTAGTAAGTATTGCCGTACGGTACTTGCAACCAACACAAATAGCTTGTATAAGTGCCGAATATTAGAGCACTCATCACTAGAGAGTAACATTATAACAGGAAAGAAGGAGAAACAAGGAGGGAAAAGTTAGAAAAAGAGCAAACAATACTAGAGTACCAACTAACTACCTATGTGAAGCATGTCTCCATCTGACTAACGACAAGTGTGTTTAGATAACAACAACTTTTTTAGCTTGTTTTCATTTAAAGTATAGATCAGGGTCTGTTGGTTTCTATATTTCCACATTCACAAACAGTAACATTTTCTTGTTGCCCAACAATCATCAACTAAGATCATACAACATACTTGGACTTTTTTTAAGCAAGGCACAAACAAATTCAGTTCCCACATTATATCCTGACTCTAATATAACTTTTGTAGCATTGAGAATAACTGTGTCTAGATAAACAGAAATCTATTAATAAAGACGGGAATTCGTTTAAATCTTAAAATAAAGCGTAAAATCAGGGCATGCAGTAACTTGAATGAATAATTTACAATTTCATATTTCTGAAAACTTTATTGTTTCCTGTAGAAACATAAGAAAACACATTTTTCACAGCAGTTTTTAATTTAAATATATCATCAAACATTAATCACTACAACTTTACCAAAATACTGGCAATGTGATTGTGTACAAAAAAATCAAAGCACAGGCAATACAGGTGAACAAATTAATCAGAAACAATGATACATGTATTGAGATGCATGATGAAAGCTGACTGTTATTCTAAATTCTCCGAAAAGAAAGATTTTAGATTTCTTTTGGTAAGCTTTTCTGAAAATTTATAAGTCTCGTAATAATTCCCATTTCAAGACAAAAAAAAGCTAAAAGGCATAAACAACGTTACCTTTGTGCAAACAGGAAGGTTTAATAAACATATAAATCAAAAGGAAGAGTACAGTTGTGAAAGCTGAAATTTCTTTTTGTCGTCACTATTCAATATATTTGCACTTTTCCCCCCTTTCATATTAATCACACATAATGACAAGATTTAGACCATTCAATATCCCACCCAGCCAGGCCATCAAACTTGCTAGAGACAGGAAGCTCTTTCTCCCCTCGACGCCCTAGAGGTACAAGAGGACGGATAAAGTAAAGTAAAGTAATGACAAGATTGAGATAAGATTACGAAACGACTATTAGAGTCCGCTTAAACTGAAATGTGCGGGACTACTGGGTTATCTTCAGTTTACAAAAATTGTTTACATTAAAAAAAATAATTAAAAAATAAAGGACTGTATTTTCTTTTGGTTAACCACCGTTTTTTTGAGTAGCTACATTTATTTTAAGGCGACTCCTATTTTTATAATAAAGTTGAAGGACAAGCTAAAATACTACAGTGTGAATAGTGAAACAGTACTATGTGATCACAGCAGAGAAATCTGATTGTGAAGTCAGGCAGAAAATGAAAACTGAAAGCAAAGAGTATACGAGTCCACACAATGCAAGCAAAGTATTTAAGTAATTAACTAATGAGATCACTGCTACAGACGAGCGTAAAAGCACCATGCATGTAGAGGAAGGACTTTGTGACAAAATGGGTCATCTCCAACTCCAATAATTGAATTCCTGGTGGAGGGGGGGTTCCTGTCTTAAAACACAGTGAGCTTCTACTTTATTGCTTTAAAATATTTTGACGCACATCACCAATTATTTTAAACAGCTCCATTTCAATTTTGTCTTCAGCAAAAGCAGCATACAGAGGGTGAATAAAATAATCAACTTTTAAAAGTTGTTCACATTTCAGATATTGAACATTTTGTCAAAAAGCCCTTCATGAAGAAAAAAACTGAAGGTATCATCTACTAAACATTGACATCATCAAAGTGTCTTCAGAGACTACACAAATAAGTACAATCTTTAGGTAGATCTGAGCAATATCAATTAAAAAAACCCCCAACATAGCTTTGTTAGGCCTCCGTCAACATAATTTAGATAATTTAGTAGGTGAGCTTCCATCCTGCCTGTGTGGGCTGAGAGGGATACAATTTCCCTGCAGAAAGATTGAGATACTCGAGAAATCTTCCTTCTTGATAATCCACCTGGGTCTCTTGCCTATGATGATAAAATGCTTAACCCCTATACCAGACGACGGTAAAGCAATATAATTTATTTTAAGTACATTACAGATATAATAATGGAGAGGACAAATTATACCTTATAATTGATAATGCATAGTCTCTGAGAACTAAACACCTCAACTCAGCAAATAACAAAAGGGTGCAGCAGAGAATGGGGGGGGAGAGGAAAGACTCTTATATAACATTTACTGAAAGAAACAGTAAGGCCAGCACACCACTAAATTCAAATCAAAGTTGATTCCCCCCCCCCCCAACCCAAATTACCCTCTCCTTACAAAAAAATTTGGAAAGCTTTACAAACGTTCAAATGAAAGCTGGATATTTTTCAGTGCAACATCAGCAAATAGAAGAAAAAAGTAACTTCTCTCAGAGAGTACAACAAAGATAACCTATGCTTAGGACAATGTTCATTTTATGTTCTTTTTTTTTTGTAACCAGAAAGTAGGCCTAAACAAACAACCCAGGAATGGATATGAGACAACCTAAAAAACTTCAACCAAAAACACATTCCCAGGAATGAAAAATTATCGTGGAATCTGATTAAACTGAAATCTGCAGGATTGCCGGGCTTTTTTAACAATAACCATGTTTTCCGTTTAGCTTAAAATGCTCAAATAGCAAGCACGCTAATGAGATGTAATTTATCACCAAAATCATAAGAATTGCAATACATTCAGAGTTCATGTTCATTAATTATCAATCAGATCATATGATTATTTCTTGACTTCGAATACGGGGGTCAAAGAACCCAACAATCTAATCAAGAAAACACAGAAACTTGGACAGAGCTTTCTTCACAAAAAGCTGAGAATAAAATCTTGACTACAACTGTCATCAATGAAAACTTTTTGGTCTGGAAAAAAGGAACTATAGTTACATTTAACATGTAGGCATACTTAACTTTTTTGTATAATGGCTATGTTTTATCCCAACACTACATTACAAAGGAATTTTATTGGTCTTTCTCTTAACACTTGGTTCCGGTTCTATATTCCAAGTAATAGATATTTAGATGCGTGGGTGATGTGGATTGCAGACAGGAAGCAAAGCGTGAACAACTAATCAGTCATAAGATACATGAATGAAATCTCCACCAGCCAGATAATAAATGGCACTTTACAATACAAAGACATACTTCATTCAAGCGATTACTTGAAAGAAGAACATTAAGGTGAAACACAGAAAGCATATCACACAGCACATCACATCAGACCTTGAGAAGTACAAAAAGTTTATGGGAAAACAGAGAATATCACACTTGCAAAGGGTATGAACAGCGAGATCATGGTTTTGATATAAGAAAGACCGATAAACAGAAGAGAAAACCCTTAAATTAATAAAGTTATCATGTCAAGTGATAAGATAAGATAAGATACACCTTTATTGTCCAGATCCTGGATCTGTGAGAATGTAGCCTTTGAGCATTCATATATCTAATAATGACAATGACATTTAGAGAAAATATATTCGTTACTTGATCCTACATTAAGCAATCAGTGAATTGTAATGTCACCAAAACACCCCCCCCCCCAAAAAAAAAATCACTGACAGTAAACGAATAATCAAAAATTGAAAATAAACAAAGCAGGACTCAGACTCTATGCTCTGTCATTAACTTTAACCTGACACATTTATTGTTTGTTTGTGGCGAGGGGATGGGAATCACTCTGCCTATAGGAGCTTGTAGGAGAGGATTCACACACACAGCAGGCCTGTCTACATTGTTCCCCAGCGTCCTACCTTGTGATGGTGACCAAGGGATGATGGACCTCGGAGTGGCAACAGGTGTCGCAGTAGTAGAGCTGGTGTCTCCACGCCGGTACTGGTCTAGAAGTTCCAGAGCTCTGTTCAGGCAGATAAAATTGAGTGAACAAGAAGTAATAAATCAAAGCTGAGTACAGTATTTCACGGCTATAAAAATGAGGGACCTATGGTTCCAGAGGAAAATCCCGCTGTTGGCGAGTTGCCGCTATAGGAATGCAAAAGGGAATTATCGAAATTGTTCTAAAAATCCACATGATCACCTCCCTTCCATATTATATCAATACAATTTGCGCTTTAGATTAGTCTTCCTTTTCTTGCCAACTTCGTTGATTATCTCGGCCTTAATTCGAGTGAGAAGCATTTCCTTTTGTCTTTGTCGGAAGCCATATTTTCCTGTCTTGTTGCTTGTGCTGTCTATTGTACCGGTAGGCCTACAGTAGAACTGGTGAAGTGAATGCGTGTGTATGCTTGAGCATCAACAATCGCAATTCAATGAATCAGGAATCACACTACACGCTCTCCTCTTCTTTTACTTTTTGGCCTAGTCTAGGGCTAGGGCTATGGCATATACAGTCGAACCTGCCTTAACAGAAACCTGTCTTAACGGAAACTCCCCGCTCCCCCCTTGATATATTCCTCTTTAATTACCTGTATAAAACGGAAACCTGTCCAACGCGGAAACGGAAAGAAAAATCCGCTTCCTTCCGAGGGTTTTACCTGTCTAAGACGGAAAATGCTTTGCCCGCTCAGCCCTGATTTGAAACAAAACTCGCAAGTTTGGTTTTGATTCCACTGGCTCTAACTCTAAACTTAACTCATTCGCTACGCCGAGCCGCGGGGGGTGGCGCAGCTAAAGTGCCGTCAGTACGCTAAGCCGCCCCCGGCAGCTCGAGAACCGATCTTCAATTTTAGTTTAGATTCTATTCCAATCCACATATCCATGTTAAAATAAAGGTCATAATATAATGTTGACTTTCGGGTCAAGCGTTTCCACCGAAAATCGGAAGTTTTCATTCAGTTTTGAAACAAGATTTCAAAGTTTATGCGACTTTGTTTTATCGCGATGTTCAAATTATAGCCCAGACACCAGTCTTACTACTTTTACACAACAAAATATATCATTATTTTGCACATTAAAGAAATCTAGGACTCTTCTTTAGAATATTGATACAATTGGGCTCAAATTGCCATTGCACTGTTATTGAGAAATCAATATTTTTCAGTGCAAGATCTAGATCTAAACTGTGAAATTATTTTTTTCTCCCAAAAATCACTATTTTTTGTGAAATTACACAAAAAGTACCACTCAAGACATGTGTAGGTTTATTCCAAATACAATTCTGAATAATTCCATATACGGCAGGAGTGTTTTTTCTGTTTGCGAATGTATCTTGTCCATTTTTCAAGATTATGGAATTTTTGCTTTTTTTTTTCAATATCGGATGTCATGATTCAAATGTGCAAATTTTATGGAATGTATATAAATAACTACAAACTGTTCACTATTTTCCAGTTCTATATTCATTTATGATTTTTTGATGTATCATTTGACGAGGTGCAAGCATATTTTCTGAGTTCCACCGAAGATGATTAATTTCTTATTTTCAAATTTTATTTGCATCCAAGAAAACTTGTGTTGCATAATCGCCTCTAACAGGAACCAAAGTTCAAAAATACACAAACAAACGTTACACATGTATTCTACAAATCATACTGAAAATTTCGGTGCATAATATGTTAATATTTATTTGAATTTGTGGCCCGAAAGACCTTTGAACTGCGCACTAGTCATCATCTCATTTCGCCTTTCCCAAAAAAATTTGCCCACAAGCCGAAAATAATATGTAGCGAATGAGTTAACGCTATAGCCATGCCGCTGGGCGAGGAAGGGTAGTAGGGGTGCAATTATTTGTGGGTAGATGTTACCCCATCATGTGAGCCCTTATCGATCCAGATGGTCAATGTAGTGTGGGTGTGAAATCTCACGACTGCCCGTGAGAGTGCTCGAGTAGCGAGCCACTTCGGAAACTGTCCTAGGTAGTCAGAAGCCAGAGGTGTGAACTTAGATTGACCAATGCCTGCCGCCCTTATTGTATATCCAGCCGAGAAAAGAGTTCCTTGAATCGGTGTTACAAAGATGGCAGTAAGGGGTGGCATTGGTGGGTGGGGCTAAGGGTGGAAGCAAAGATGTTCAAATGTTTCTGTTTTTAATAGGTCAAACAGTGGTCCTATGAAAGGCAAGCACTAGTGGTAATTGGATAAGTAAGACTGACGCCTGTTATTATCAGACAGGATAGCAATTGAATTTGTCTGAATTTTTTATCATTGCTTGCCGATCGGACAAGTGATCCTTCATCCCACCGGCTGGGCCTTTGAACCCCCCCCTCCATCTCCCCCTAAATTCCCCTGTCTAAGACGGAATTTTTTTCTGGCTCCCTTGCGATTCCGTCTTACACAGGTTCGACTGTACACGCTCTCGCACTGAGCGACTAAGCTACGGCACATCACTTTTGGAGTGGCTTACGTAATGCGTCTCTCCGCACCATCTCTCTTTGCCGCCTGTCCCACCTCACTCATCACTGGACTGGCCAATCACAGCGTCGCACCGCTGACTGCCTGTTTGGAACCCGCCTACAGCCACCCACCAGCAAGCCCCTTCCTCCCAGCTAGACCTTGCTTGATCTCTCCCACTGTATCCAAGTTCAGGCCTTTCCTTGCCCCGCTAGCCCCGAGCACAGGTAATTGAGTTTACATAGGAAAAAAAAAGCGGGGATTGCGGTAAGGTCCCGCTGTAGGGATGGTCTCGTTGTAGCGGGCGCCGCTATAGTCATGTTCTACTGTATTATCTGACCTGAGATATAGTAATAAAAACTGCATGACAATCAAATTTATAAGCTTCTCTCCTTTACACATCTAAATATTTAAAGACCACATATGCAAAATATGTAAGGACTGTTTGTGCACACATGAAAAAACCCAAACCAATGTAAATCTAGAAACCCTCTCCTATCTGCTCAATTAATCATTGACAAATCCAGACCAACTCAAACAAGTTTATTCAGATCAGATACAGTGCTTCCACCAGCTGAAGCAGAAAAGTAAGGAAAATTCTGCTGGGGGTCTGGGGATAGATAGATCTATGTTGGTGAAGAAATCAAACAAGACAAAATCTTGGTGAAAAAATAGGTAGTACGGGTTGTTGGCACCAACACAGGTCTATCTTTCCATTGCTGGCAATGTTTAAAAGCAGGTTCCCTTCCATGGCTACTATAATTTAAATTCAATTTGTCATCGCATCATTGATAGAAGGCAAACCAGGGAATACTGAATAGATATGTACCTTCACAATACAGTTACCCAGTGTATACCCTAATTTTCCTCAATTTTCACGTCTGAATGTCGCATGTCACAACCTCGGAACACCACTTCGAATTATTCTTGATTTTAGTAGTTTTAGCACAAATTTCTTTCATCGCGGCCCTTATCGTGTTCCCCTGCCGTAGAATCTTCGCACTGATAATTTCTCTAGATCTAGACAATAAATTTGCAAAAAAAGTTTCTTTCTGACAGTAATTTTCTGTCTAAGATCACAAGTTAATATACTTGAGCAACATGTCGATTTTCCAGTCGCAGCAACAATCCGAAGATAGACGGAATGACGGAATGATAGCCTAGAAAGGAGGAAAGTGGCACAAAAAGTTTGCCAGATTTTGATCAATCTGCAGGTAACAAAAGTACTGCTGACTAACCCGCAATGAATGCAAGGGGCATAGCGGAATAATGGCCGATGGCAGGAAATGCGCAATCTGGCAGGTTTCTATAACATAAATTATTGCCGAGAAAATTACCGTAAATATCCGTAACTTATACAAGACGATACAAAGGCGAGTACGGATCTTTTGCTATGGAATTCCGGTTGTCTATGCTGTCACAGATTTTTACAGAGGGAGTTGATAATGATGGAGGAACAAATATGGAACTAGCAGAATAAACGGATTTCCGTAAAAATACGGAAGAGTGGAAGCACTGCAGGTATAATACCAGCGTCCCAAGTCCAAATCTTCCTCAACCACATGACCATACCAAGAAACTTAATCTCACACAACAAATAAAACAGTCAAAAAGATGAACTAGTACATACTTTTTCATTTTTTCTTCAGCAAGTTTTTCCCTCAAAGCAACACTTTTTTCGCGACCTGTGGAGAAAGTAAAATGGAAGTTAATGATTGCCGAAGATACAATACAGCATGTACCAAAAGTTATTACAAACAACAGTACTTTCTAATAAAATACAATGAATAAGCCATCTCAAAAATGAAATCAAAGTTTAAACTTCGAAGTCCTCAGAGGGATTCAAGACAAATGTGTCAGCCTGTCACAACCATTTTGTTACATTCCTGTCTTAACCTGGTTTGTATGAATTTGGATAATTTGTTCATTTTAATGCATACAATTTAGGTTTTTGCACAGCAATCTAATTCATAAAAAGCCCTAATAGATAGTAATAAATCAGTTTGTAGGTGGAGAATTTGACGAGATGGTTGAGGAAAGAAAAATTAAGAACAAAAGAAAGAACATTTTTAAAATAAAGTGCTTATTCAGTCTCATCTCTTCGATAAATGATGCATGAAAGCTTTTTTAAAGAATACCATCTATGTCTATGCACATACAAACAAGGGTGTTGTTTTCACTCCTGAAGTGGTTGTTCGTCCTTTAGAAGTGCAGTATGACCATCCATCAAACCCGACCCACAAACAGGCTGAAACCAAGTCTTTCTACGCTACTGGGCAATGATATAGTAGTTGTGAATGACCTACTGAGCTTCTGGTTTTGGTGTAATAGCCTTAAATGTCCTCTCAAATTCCCGTTGCAGGGACACTTTTGAGAAATTTGGGATGGCTTTAAAGTTCAAAAGAATAAAAAGGATTATGGTATATAAGTCTTTAACTTTTACAAAGATCTTACTCTCGAGTTCCTTTTCTTTTAGTTCCAGCTGTCTCATTTTGGCCTGAAGCTCTTCCTGTTTGTTGGCAAGGTCTTGATCAGATCCACCAGACTGATCACTGGCTAAATCACCGCACAACGGGACAGCACTCATTCTTCTCTCCAAGGTTTCCTGCTTGCACTGCACGATCGGATCTGCTAGAATGGAATCGATGCTCGGTCGCCGCACGACCTAGTCACAGTAAATACACGAAATGAGAAATTTGTATATCAAGACTGATATTCTGAAAGATTGCACTGCTGCAAGGAAGTTTTGTTTTTTTAAATTATAGAATATGCAAACACACATGGGAAGAAATTTGTCACCTTAACGTTTACCTTGATAATTAATCTTTACACTAAAAATAAAAGAGACTACACACTAACTCTCCAGTGGTATTTAATGATTCATTCTTCGAACTCTACAGTGTTAAGGGGAAATAACTTTATTGAAGAAGCACAAGCAATGACAGGAGCCTGAAATCGGAATAACCTTACTAAATTAAATAGTTCACCGTCCATTTTCTGTTGTTTGTTAAGTACAGGGTTTTACGGCGCTCGCAACTGCATAAGGTTATATGAGCACGCGAAACACAAGTTGGTAGCATTCGCAACAGTTCACTGCACGGTTTGTCGACAATTAGACTTTAAAATGCTAAAATACTAAAATTCAGTGTAAATATATTTGCGATTTAAAACAACTCTTATAAATAACAATAAAATTTTTTTAACAATATTGTTTCACTTTACAATTTGCCATAAAGGCCAATGGCCTTCACAAAATTTAATATTCTGCTGGGAACAACGACGGAAAAAATGTCTTGCAATTTCTTGCATTTATAATATTTCCTTCGGATCTCTCCAAAGTAAAATCTGTGTCGCATCCGACACAGAACGGCTTCTCATCTCCCTGTAGGAAGTATTTGTGGGTCAGGGCCGTGTGTCCGATGCGCAATCGAGTAAAAATGACTTCGTCTCTTCTGGAGAGGTCCGAAGGATTTCGCTGTTCTAGTTTGGGTTTTATAACATATAGTTTATTGTTTTTCTGTTTTTCCCAGTGGCTCTCCCACAGACTGGAGGTGTCCATTTTCTCCAGTGCAAAAAATGAAGTACAAGACCTGAAAGGATACATTCTTCTGGCACCATCGGCAATTCTTAGCCCCCATGTACAGAACAGTAAAACATTAGAAAAAATGACAAGTAATATATTGTCACATAGCAGCAGGCAGAAGTGCAAAAGCTCAGCAGTAACTCATGATACTCTTTTATGAATATTGAACTATACTTTTAGCTAAGAAAATGTATTTCTAAGAAAGATGAGGCCTCTCTCTATAAACTTCATGACCATGAAGATTCTTAATTTTGCTATCTGAGGTTAAACCTTACCTCTACTTGGATCATCTTACGAATGATGAGGTCGAGTTCTAGAGAGTATTGAATAGGAAGACGAGAAAATTCTCCAACTCTGATCTTGCGGTTCAGTTCACTTTGGTTGGAGGCAGTGAAGGGTGGTACCAAGGCACACAGTTCATACAGCATACAGCCAAGTGACCATACATCAGATTTCTCGTTGTATGACAAGTTGTTCACAAGTTCCTGAGTGTCAAAACAATCAAAATAAAAACAAACAATATGTGAGGCATCATGGTGAAATCAGGCGCTCGTCAAAATTAAGAAATCTAAGATATTGACATTACTTCTCGGGATTGGCAGTTTTTATAGAATTTTAGTTTTTTTGCCTCAACACTGTTTATGTCCATTTAAAAACACATTTCAGTACAGACCTTTACGAAAAAAAAGTTGATTAAAGGCACAGAAAATGTAAATTTTCCGTTTCCAAGGACACCTAATCTATTGGAATCACCAAAATTGGGCTACTGATTTAAAGTTCTTGCATATTTTACCTCTGAAACCAGGTGACCACCGCCTCCTTCAATTACAAACATTTTTACTTTTATTCAAGACAGCTGGGTATTTTTTATCCAACCAGAGCGAGCTTTAAGATGATACCAATAATTCCACATGCCCAAAAAATGACAAGCGCCTGATTCCACTAGTACTGATTTCAAGACAGAAAGAAAAGATCAATTTTACTTTATTGAGACAGATTTAAAGTCAAAGAATAGAAAAAATTGAAAGATATGAGGTCATTTTCCGTACCTATGTGAGGCCAGTGTATAGTAAACCTGAAGAAAACATTTCCAAAACACGACTTTCCTGGATGAACTTTTAAAGAGTCATGAAAACACTTTGCTATACCACCAACATTGGGAAAAGTATGATTGTGCTATAACAAAGGTGGTGGTATAAGTAAAAGGAGTTCCTTTGCTGCCAAAAATAGAATAAAATGATTTTGCAATCTCGTACTGCAGTCACAGATTATATTTTTTTGATCATGGCCAAATATCTCCACAGGTATAACGCCAATGTCAGTAAAGATATATATTTAAACCTTGGTCTGAGCACTGTCTGTATCTGTTGTTACCACACGCTTGAATAAAGACCTGACTTGGTGTCACCACAACAGACTTAAAAAGAGCATTCAAAGTCACTTGTTACAAAGGTTGATCCAATACACACAAAGATCACATCCCCTACACAAGACATTTTAAAGTTAAGGCTTATGTGGATAGTAGTTTCACTTGCCACCAAAAGTGGATGTATTGAGCCTTGTTAATCCTCCCAACATACAGCTTTAGGGAAAGAGATTTCTTTTGTTTTTGTTGAGTGCCAAAAGACAGAAATCTGTCTCAAGACACTTTCCAATACGTATTCAAGAGAAATCTTGGGCCTACAGAAACATTTTGGAAACGCAATAAAACCATGAATAGGCAGTCGCTAGAGTCAAATAAGAATGGACAGGCATTGACTTCTCATGAAAAAGTTTATCACACTCACGGGTGACATATAGTATGGAGTGCCCACATAAGTCTGTGCAAAGCTGCTCTCGTGATGTAAAACCCTGGCCAAACCAAAATCTCCAAGTTTCACATTAGACTCTGCATCAAGAAAGACATTTGCAGGCTTCAGATCTCGATGAAGAACCGCTTTCCCATTTTTCCGACGATGGCACTCTTTCAGGGCCCATGTTGTCTGAATCAAAATTTTCCAAGCAAATTCTTCAGGGATGAAAGATCTGAAATAGAATTTTAGAAACACGATTTTAAGCAAAATACGATTACATTTGCAAAAGATAAGGCATACATTCAATTCAACTGATTTTCTGAAACAACATCAAAACCATTATGATATAAGCTCCAGTTAAAAAGACAATAAACACTTTTTAACTTTAAGCAATTGTTTCATTATTTTAATTGTTAATGTTTTACGCCCCACCAATGCAATTTAGACTATTTAGGACACAAACTGCTTTGAGTCCAATCTGGACTGAGAAGGATACAACATCCCAGTAGATAGATGTAGATACTTGATACAATTACTCCCACACTCAGGAATTTGAAACATCTTTTCTGTATACAGAAGTCAAGAGCTATCATAACATCACAGATGCCACTCTGTTGTCAGTTTTATGCAAGCCATCGACATGATTATAAAGAGTATTTTTGCTTTTATCTGTCAAGATATAAAGCGAAATTCCCCTGTCTAAACCTAAAATCACATGCCAAGTCTTTTCTCCTTTGATCTGCGACAAATCTATTCATACTGTATACTCATAAGCTTTGAAAATGAGCTATTAAAGAGAACAAATTCAACAAAACAATTACTGCTCTGATATACATTTTAAAAAAGCAAGACAACTGGACTAAACACTTAAATTTTTTTTATAAAGGAGCAAAAAAAATCATCGGACCAACAAAGTAGCCGAAACATATTCTAATCAAAGGTGAGTGCATGCCTTCCATTTAAACTCAAACCAGTTACTATCAAAACCTTTCTACCTATGAATGCTATCAAAAGGTGACTGTCCTTACCCTTCTTTCCTGTTGCGAGCGATGATAGAAGAGAGGTCCCCGCCCTGGCAGTATTCCATGATAATATAGATGATGGATCTTGTGCGGTCAATAATCCTGTCAAAGTAGCGAACAATGTGCTGGTGTCTCAGTTCTCGTAGTAGATTTACCTCAGACACTAACATTTGCTTCTCCGACTCGGACATAGAACCATATTCCATCTCCTTCCACACCATAACCTGGGAGATGTAAAAATACAAGAACTGAATGCATACTATACTGATACATTAACGGACCATGTTCATTTCTCATTCAAATGATATACTGTCTTCCACTAGACCAATGTGACAACAGGTTTAGTTGAAGATCTACCAGTTTAGACAGGCTTGGGACCAACGGGTGGGTATCACATGCTGTATCCCGACTAACTTGTCAACCATAATCTTTACCACTGCAAAATTCTTTGATCCAAGCAACAAAGCAAAAATGAATTAATTCACCCACCCACACACAATAGTGTAAAGCCACTGCATTTGGTCTAAAAGTCTTCCAGCATTGTCGTTACCATGGTCAATCAAGGAGGACTAATGCTACACTAAACCGCCTAAAAAATAGCAGTGGACAGTGGTCGATTGGACAACTGGCACCAAAAATATATGATGTCTGTGGGAGTACAAACAGAATAAAATAGGTAGAATGAAGAAATGATACTGGGCAAAGCAGCTTTGTGAGAATGATTCGTGGAACGGAATAGTTTAACTTTTTACTTTACAAGTTGCAAGCATCTCAGCTTAGCAAATCTAGAAAACATGATGTCAATAAGTTCATGCGCCATGATCTCGTAGTCTGAAACAAGTTAATCAAGAAAACAGAGAAACGAATTATAGTATTTCATGTTATAGAATAAAAGCTCAAAGCAAATGTTGATGAGAGAATACACAATACACTGTAACCAAGCGTACTTTTCCATCTTTTTTCCTCTTGATCTTTTTACAGGTACCGTATGACCCTGTTCCAATGGTAGAGAGAACCTCGAAATCATCCAGAGTAGACGTCATTCTTGGGCTGAATGAAAAGAAAAGAGGAATAATGAAAATGATTTGTATTACCACATATAACAATAACAGGCAACTATTAGGAAAAAAGAGAAGAAAAAAATTTATTGAAACAACTGTTAGCCTCTATGACTCATTTAAGGTAATGCAACATTCTTTTCCAACCTAGATATTAAATTAAATAAGTGATAAACTCAGGGTCACTTAATATTTCAACAACATACACCCATCAAATATCTCAAAAGCTGTTTCACTACTTGCTCTAGCATTTGATGACTATATCATGCACAGATTTGGCGTGCATACATATGTATATATGGACAACGATTCATGTAAATTGATCAAAAGTTATTAATGGTCCCAATACCTTTTTGGCAATAGCCAACAATCTGCAATCTGTTCAGATGCGTACAAAGCTCAAGATTTTGAAAGATTTTTTTTTTAGTTTCTAAATTTGTTGTACCCATCGCATGTGGTCATAAATATTTTGTTGAAATTCAAATTCTAAATATTGAAATATTAGCAAAATAAAAAGACATAATAGTTAAGAGAATGAAACATTTTTTATTCTCCATCTTAAATTCGTTTGAATACTCTCTGGGCTTATGGTACTTTTACATTGTACATTAGAACAGCTTGCCGATAATTCATATAATCATTATATAATTCTATGAAAAAAAAAAAGTCAAACAGTGAGCCTGGCAACGATAATAAGTACTAAAAGATGTGGAATTCAAGTAAAAATTCACCAAAGGTCAAAATAGAATTTAGAATGGCTAGTACAGTTACTGTTACAATGGTTATATAATAAAAATGTAAAATACAATTTCATTCTCTATCTCACTCTCCCTCCCTCCCTCACACACACAATCTCATGCATTTCAAATTTTCACCCATTTGATCTCTTTCTCTCTCTCTTCACACTCACTTCATTCAACTATTCTTGGGCTTGCTCATTCACTCATTTCATAACTCAAAATTTACAGTTTGACAGCAAGGTCATACACTTGAAAATATTAACATAACATCGTACAACAAGTGTATACATTAATGAATAAATTTGTGCCTCAGATGTTTCTTGGAACAATCAATATTGGGGGCACACCGATTTGTTTTTAATTTAAAAAATAGATATTTATGATAATATTGGGTGCAATATTATCAATATATCCTTCTATCTCACGATATTTTTATAAAATAGAAAACAGCAGTTTTGTATCATTCTTTTGTTTTCCTGGCAGGAGATGCAGTACAATGAGAAGAATAGGCGTCACACTTACATGATGCTCAGATTTATTTCATTTTATTTTCAACTTTTCTGCTTGATTTTGAAGAACTCATAGATCTAGCTTTTAAGTTTTTCAGCATTTTTATACCAGACAAGAAGAGGATTGTAGGGTCTTTACCTATTTGATATCCTATTATTAATATCTTGTAACTAAACAATGCTCTCGGGAGCTCTCGTGGCCTAGAGGTTAGGTTAAGGTGTTCGCCTCTCATTCAAAGGTTGCGGGTTCAAATCCTGGAAGTGACAGAAAAATTATCTCCTTTTACCTCCTTTCTTGCTCTCTAGCAATGTCCTGTCGTTTGTTTTCCTCTCCATTTGCTGCCCCCACCCCCTCACCTCCTTTGCCCCCTCCTCTACAGCCTTCTACTGCTACTCCTTGGCTCCTTCTTACTGTCTATTAGCCACACCCCTGATTTTCTGGTAAAAAAGATCCACACCTAGCCTTTTCTGACAAGGGAGAAAAATCTCGGAGGTCCCGTGTGCAAGTTGCGCACATATATATTAAAGATCCCTTGGTGGTCTAAAATCTATAAAAGAAGGCTTCGGCCGCCACCCCAGCAAAAATCAAAATTTCCTACAAACTGAAAATGTTTAATGTGTCCTGCGCGCTCATATATGACCTCATGCAGTTGGCTAGGTGCCGTAAAACACTTACCAAAACAAACAAACATAACAATGCGTCTGCCAAGTCTGTAGGATGTAGAGTGAACAGAATACACACAAAGGAAATGGTCATTGATCAAGATCAACAGGAATCTCTATGGATGATGAGAATGGCTTCGGTGACATTACAATTGCTATCTAGACCTAGTGCTGTGACTTATGAAAGCATCTCTTCGTACACAGGGCTGAAAATGAAAAGCTCTCATTTTGTATACACTTAAAGTAGTCATAATAACAATAGATTATAGATTTACATGGCAGACACTTTCACTCACGTTTTCACTATGCCTTCTGATTCGGTCTCATTTCCCTCTTTCTTCTGCCCACACACATGAGGTGGCACAACTTTCTTCAAAGGTCGATTATTACGCAGCTCATCATTCACATTATATTGATAGGACGAAAGATCTTTGCTTGAATGCTGCACCGGTGGCGGTGGTGTGATGAAACCATTAGTAGGTTCTACTAAAATATCCTTTGAAACCTTTGCCTTTGGGGCACTTGAATTTGAAGTTAAAGACTCATTCTCCATTTTTTGAGTCCTACCTGATTTAGATTCTAGATCTAGATTTAGATGTAGTCTTCTACGCTTCTATTTTAACTGAGGCACTTCCAGAATGACATGGCACACAACAGAGCGAAACACTATAAAAAACTGTAACTCGTGTAGTGTAGACTAATTAATGTGGCCTTGCTGAAGTACCAGAATCATTAGATCTATGAAGGTTATAGATCTCTAGGCCTAACGGAGGGTAACTACAATAAAATAACAGCCTGAGCCAGCACCACACTCCATTGCTACTAAAAGCTGTAGAATCGGGAGAAATCAAGCTGCTCAGCTTCACTGATAAATCTCATCAAAGAATCATAACATTCACTAACATCATACAGATCTAGATTTCCAACTACTAAAGTACTAAAGCCACAGCCATGCAAATGACCTGCAGCTTTCAGACGGGCAAAAAATGTATTTTCATGAAACTGTCAGCCTAATTAACTCAATATTATCGCTCGGTGCTAGACCTAGACTCTAGATCTCGATCTCGATCTAGCTGGGCATCTATGACTCAATCAAAATCAAAATATAGGCCTTGATCTACATGCATAGCCTAATGAAAGGGCGCAAGGCGCATAACTCCTGGGGCTGGGGGGCGTCTGTAGTAACGTGAAGGAAACATGTTGCAACATGTCATTATAGAAGAAATCGACAAAGACATACAATATGCATGATTAAAACGGTAAGAATAAAATGCTTTTACTTACTTATACTGACAAGTATTCTTTTTTTAAAGTATGGTGCATTATAACTGATTTACACATTGACCAGAGCAACTTTGACACAACTCACAAATCAGCCATCTTCGAAATTCGCGCTTGATGTATCAGAACTTTTCATTGGACCATCTGGATTCTCCATGATCCTATTAAGTATTTGTTGATTGGTGGAAAGTTTATTTGAGGAAGAGGGAGTTTGGGCACGTGATATCTAAAATGGCGACCTCCAGATATGTTGACAAACATTGAGCATTGTTATATTGTAAGATGCTTTTCTATCGTAGGTGAAAAATTTCACTGGCGCAAAGCGTCGTAATTCTAAACGATGGCCAACAAAAGCGCAGTAACAGGAATAGTGGATTCCTACTTGGTTAATGAACAGAAAACTAAGTTAAAAGATCTGTTCAAATTTTTCTGCAATCATGTCTTTCTGGGACAGTGGGAGCTGGCAAAATCTGCAATCCCAAAGCTGATTAAAGAACTGAGACATTCTGATGTCAACGTGGACTTCATTGAAATGTTGATTGACATTTCAGAATTTCCTTTCTCTCAAAGGTAGGTCAGCCTTGTGGCTCTTTGGCAGCTGCATTGGCATTTGATTGAACTTATTTTTCTTTGAGTAAGAGATTATTATCTCATCATTGTTTGTGTTTTCATCATTTCAATAATAATGACGGCCACCTCTATTCTCACCCGGAGTGAGAATAGTGCAGGCGAGTCTTGTGGCTATTCTCACCCGGTGCGCGTTCACCAAATTTTTGCGTTCACCCTAAACCACAGAATTCTACACTGTGATAACAGAAAAATTGTAGAATTCTGTGCCGTGAACAAACGTTCCATTACAACTGTAGCCTACTAAAAGCGTACAATTTTGTCTGTGGGCAGTGGAGAGAGAGAGAGAGGAGTAGCTCGAGAATTTCCGGGCAAAACAAAATGGCGACCCGCGTAGTTCGGCTCGATTCGAAAAGTTAAATAGCCGTAGCATCTTTGTAGACAACCAAATTAATTTACTTTTGTATTTTAACATCATATTTTAACTTTGTTATGGTCAATTTGATCGTCCACACCGATAGACAGTATTCAGAAAGAGACAGAGAGAGAGAGAAGAGGGGAGGAGTTGATCTTGCGAGAACTTCCGGGCGGGTGAGAATAGCCACTTTCAATAATGACAGTAAATGAGTAATCAAAGTAATGTCATCATTGTTTTTAATTTTTAATAAAGATGTAATCAATCATGGCCATGGCCTTTCTTCGTGATGAAGACCTGTAGAAAGGATGGTCCAGCTCAATTGTAGACATGCTTTTGGCTTACAATATATGAGGCCATTGCTGGACAGGCAGGTTAAGTCAGAGAAAAAGGTTTGGTCCGGGAATGGTTCTGAGGTTTGGCAGTTCTTCCTCTGCCTCTGCATCATCTTCTTCTTTTTAACTGGCCCTGTGCGAGTCCTGTTAAGTTAGTGAGACTGCCTGGTTGGTGGTGAGGTACCAGACTTTGTGGTTTACTTCAAGGATAAAGAATTGTTTCTAATGTGTGTTTGATTACAAACAATCATGTAATGTCCATGAAGCTAATTCGTAATTGTCTTGGCTAGGCTAGACCTACATGAAGATTTTAGATAAGTCTTGTGACATGCTGTGATGAAAGTACATGTGACGTGATGTGACTAATGTAACATAATGCCAGCATGTGCTACAAAATTTTGGTTGTAGTGAATACAAGGGAAGGACTCACGTTGTGCATGATGATAAATCTTCATTGCCAAAAGGAAGGACTTCTGTAATGAGCAACCACCCCAATAATTACAGTGAAGAAGAGAGAGACCTAACCCTAGTCCTAGCCTTAAAACCCTATTCCTCACCCTCTATTTCACAGTGGTCACTCGTAAATAATTCCTCCTTGCCAAAAATACCTCTTTCTAAGAAAGTTTCTAGTTTTAACTATTTTTACTCTTGAGACTAGTCTTTTCAAAGTCTTCTGATTTCCATTGACTTTGTATAGGCGCTCAACGATCTTACACAGAATTTGCAAGCGCGGAAAAACTTACTTACTTTGATTACCATCATTCACATGGTGTGATATTCTGTCATTTTCCCCCAGGTTCTATGGAGTTGGTGTTAAAATCAAGTCTCTTTTGTCAGCACCATTTTATGTCTGTAAAGGGTCATTTATATGACCTTTGTCCTTTTTTTCTTCCTTCCATCCTCATTACTCCATGATTACTGGCCATGGAGACGGGTATTTCATTTTCCAATATATATATATTCTCTGTCTCCCGTGGTTTTCTAAAGTCATCTGGACCGGTTTTACATGATTGTATAAGAAGGTATTAAAACAGTTAAGACCTTGTTGTATTTCCAAAAAAAAATATTTTTCACAGTTCAACGTTTCGCCAATAAGGCTTCATCAGGAACATACTATTTGAGAAAAAAATAAATGAGTGATGACGCCACAGCAACAAAGTGTTCACTATAAG